ACGAACTTGCGACAGGTAGACACTTTTATCAGCGGTATACTTTTCTTTCTGTAAGGTTTCATTTACGTAGAATTAAAACGATAATCGCACTATTAAAGTAATCAAACTAGTAATTAATATTCAGATATTCCAGGGGAGAATTTAGACAAACATAAATAGGTTACAGGTATCACTTTATTTACTTTTATATTCATTAGCGGGAACATTCGCGTCTGTGTGTTATTGTCATATTTTTGGTATTCATTGGTAAACGTTTATTTTGGGAAAAATTATAGGGTTTTTATATTGTGCTAAATTATGCTATTTAGAGAATTGATAGTGATGTTGTTGTCATAAATATTAATTGTTGTATAGTCGGTCAATGCTCTCCAGTAATAAATTAAGTGATTTAGATTTATGGCCAAAGGGCCGAATTGTAAAGTTTCGGTTGTCTGTAAGCAGTACCTGCCCCTTTCAGTAAAGATAAAAAGCACTTTCGGGTTTACTTTTAAATGGCAAACAGATGTAGATTAGTAGGGTAAATGCCTGGATTTGTATATATTTTAAAGTTAGTTTGCGGTTTAAAAAATATGTTTTCTGTCTTTCTTTGTAAACCAAAATTGGGTAGACAAATGTGTCATTTTAGCCGTACGGAATTTTAGTTTTGTACATCGAATTTTCGGGGAAAAGGAGGTATGTACAGCGGCGGGTAGAATCATGAATATTGAGGAGGGTCGTATTTATTTGTACATATCCACATATCTTTAGCGGGACATTACGCGGAAGTAGTCGGTATGTTTGTTATTTATTTAGAATAAATAGGTGAAATTGTGTTTGTGGACTAGCTAACGTATCCTCAGAACTGTGATTAATAACACTGATTTGTCAATCGACAGAGCAAAAGAGCATCGTGCCAAAAAAGACGCCTTAGGCCACCATAGACCGCCAGGGACCTCAATAGTAAGGGCCTAAAAATGGTATTTCCCTTGCGGCTATGTAAATTAAAGCCTGATAAAGGCTTGGATGGATCTGTACTGAGATACCCCAAAAGTGGGCCTGACGGACATCCCCCTTTATATCAGGTGTTCTCCGATCGACTGTTTAGTGTTGTCCATACAGGACTGAGTATGTTGGTAAATTACGGCGTTGGAATATTAGAGAAAGGCGTGACGCACGGTGAGGTAAATCTACACTCCGGTTTTTACACATATTAGAAATATTAAATTTAACCGACTTCAAAAAAGAAGATGTTCTCAATTCAACACAATATTTTAGATCTCACAACACTCCTCGTGCTACCGTTGTACTCTCTTTTATTAGACAATGCGTAATTCAGTAGTTCCGTGGAAACGTGTGATTGTATATTAGGAGACAAACAAACATACCAAAGTACTTCCGACTTTTATTTTACCCTTTTATGGGAACTAAAAGCTCTGAGGTTAGAAATGACACATTAGAAAGCCTACATAAACATAATGTTAAGCCTAAAAATGGCACATATTCTAAATGTTCGGCTGTACAAAAGGATAGATGTTAAATAAACAGTATTCAAAATTAATCTCGGTGTTTCCTTTGTTCTTCCTCCATTACAGAGCTACATTGAACTCTAAACGAAATTCTGGGGGTTTTAACATCACTTCGTAGGGATCCACTAGACGAAATTTAGGCCAAGGTTATAAGTATTTGCAAAACTAGGTTAGGGCCCGGTTTGTCAAGTTACACTACATATTTTTTTTTGTCTATATTTTTCCAAATTGTAACTGTATTTTCTGTATCTATACCTATATATCTTTTTTTTATACTTTTAACATAGACACATGTAAAATATTTATTTTTATTTTACATCAATAAATATCTATCTATCTCATAGAAATAATATAGAAGACCAATATAAACATAACATTTAAGCAGAAATTGAAACCTACTGTGCATAAAAACGCGTCTCTGCGCCTGACATCGCAAAATAGTGTGTCAAGAAGCTTGCGCAATATGCATGACTTGTCCCTGTAGTGTTGCCAAATATATTAAACATACCTAACAGAAAAGAATTTTAAATTAATTAATTTTTAAATTATATGATTTAAACAGTTTATATCTACGAAATATCGCCACAAAATAACTTATACACATTTAAATAATCAACTAATAATATTTATGAGTAATTACATTCCCAAAAGTATATACAAATACCGTATTAATGTCATTAATACCGTATTTTTAATGTTCAATAAGCGATTCGTCTACAAATTCAATATTGACCTGGCAATAGCACTAAAATCCGGTGTTTCAAGGCTATATGACGCTGCCCTTACAGGACCGTTTGTAGTTTATTATTTATGCCGCGTTTGAGAATCCACATCGGATGCATCTGGGATGTAGTAAGTAGTAAATCTTTGATCACGTGATTCAGTATACGTAAATGTAATGGGACAGATGTGTCCGATGTGGATAAAAAACGCTCGAGATGTAAAAAATGCATCCGATGTGGATTCTCAAACGCGGCATTAATTACACGATGAAAGTGGCATTTTATTTTTAGTTTTGTGTAGTGTTTAGTCAAATCCTAGGTACAATAAAAGACATTTTTACATTGGCTAATGAAAATGTAATCAATGTATTAGGCAGCTGTTATATTTATTACAAGATTTATGTCTGCAAATCTAAACCTACCTAAGAATTATAATTATGTAAATAGAGAGCTGTATATTTATATACAGGCTGCCCAGCGACGGGGAGACATTATCGATATCGGTTTTAAGGCATTTTAAAACATAAACCCGATCTCAACAATCTTAGGAACTCTTCTGTCACTCGATATTTTAATCGGTACTTCCTCTTCGCTTTTTGGCTGGCACAACAATTATTTACATTTCTTCATTCCTTACCGCGTTCGAACCAGTAAGGTTTAAAGAAATTTAAAAAAAAAACCTACTTTAAAAATAAAGATGTTAATGATTTTCTTATGGATCCCATCTTCAGATCTTGACTTAATGTATATAAAACTGTTTCCTTTTCTAACAAAAATAATCCTAGAAATCGGGCAACGTGGTAAAGAATTATCGCTCAACATACATAAAAAAATATTTCAACGAATTGAGAATATCCTACCATTTTGAAGTATGTTAAAAAAAAATTGTTAATAAAGTGAAAAGTAGGGCATGAACATATATTATAAAGTATATAAAATGATAGATAAATCCAGTTTAGAAGGTATTATAAATAAACTGTAGAAATATCGAGAATCTCGATTTTGAATCGGAAAAATATTCTACGCAATTTAGTATGAAAGCTGATCAAAATGAAACACATGAACGACAAACTGTTAATGACAACTTTCTTCAAACGTTTTCTATTTTTCCGAAAACTAACTAGATAGTTCGAAAATCATTTCCTTCGTTAAAATGCCTCTTGTTCCGAAAAAGGTACACGCCTGCCAACATTCATCGTTCATTAAAAAAGTGGTAGATACAAAACGCTTCGTATTGTAAGGCCAAAATATATTTAGAAATCGAAATAGTCATATAAACAAAAAAATCATATGAGTGAGATAACTACCAAATTAATGATTTACAAGTTTATTCCTATTATTTATAAAATAGGTTTGCAATGTGCTGGTGTGGAATGTTATCATCGACTAAAAACTTTAAATCTTTATATTAAATTGATCGAAAACAAACTATAAATTGGTTTAGGCTATATATAGAATGTTTCTAGTAAGCAGCAACTAATTTTTATTATGGAATCGAAAGACCCTTTTAAAAAGGTTCAAAATTAAAATAAAATATGTACCAAGTAAATGTAGTAGTATTTTTTAATTTTTTAATTTATATTGAAAATGGTAACATGAAAGGTTTTCTGTCTAACGACTCATAGTCTCGGCTGACAAAATGTAAAAAAATATCGAACATAATATTCCTGGGCCCTATTTTGCACTCTCCAGATTAAATTTAGTTGTAGCAAATGATATTATCAAATAAGATGACAAATCACAAGCAAAATCTCGTGACTACAGTACTAATGATTGCCTGTTTGGAAAAGTATCTGTGTTTGTAAATATTTATATGCATAGTTATATTTAAATGCGCGAGTGTAATGTTAAGTATAAACAAAATCCGCCCATTATGTATATACGTTTAGTTACCGACCCTAGTAGATAGGCAATTTGTTATTGTTTTAAGTTTTACCGTAGGGAGAGAGAAAATCAATATTAGGATAAATGGTCCAGCTCCTTTCTGGTTACGTAGGTACCTAAAAAGTATTTTAGTTTTTGCTTAAGTAATTAATTATTGTAACAGTGATTTTCTTGTGATAGTACCTAATTTAGATTGTGGATTAAAGTTTTTGTATATAATTTCGCTGTTTAATAATAAACGTAGTCAAAACCGGAGCACGTGGTTTTTCTGGAAAGTATTTTTAAAATCACAAGCAAAATCTCATGACTACTGTACTAATGATTGCCGAAAATTAACTAATTCATATTTTATGCCATATCTTTCTTAATAAGGACTGTCAGAACCATATTTACCTTAACTTGAAATTTTTTTAATCGTTTTTTGTATAGAATCATCTCTAAAAATGTATGATTGAAATATCGTGCGAACCATTTGTTCGATCAATAAAAAACTTGCACCGGTCCTGTTCGCGCCAGCACCGTTATACGCATGAGCTCCGACACACTATTTTCTCCTTATGGTTTCATTTTTGATATATGGAATCGGCTTTCTATACTATTTCTATGATCTATCTATATTACGATAGAGATATATTTTTCTCAGTGTACATTTGTGTATGTCCATATCTTTATATACCTTGTATCTTTGTCATCTTATGCAAATTTTTTTGTTGAGCATTATTGTTTCAAAAGTTTTTGAAAAGCATTCATCATAAATAGTTTTAGATACGTTTTTTATACTTAAAAACTTGATAAATTATTTTCAATTTCTTAAAAATCTCTTTACAAATTAACTAATTTATTTTGTTAATTTTATAATGTATTAAAATGTAAAAACTTTACTTTTTAGGAGTGTGGGCTTTAAAATGCAAATGTGACATTTGCAAAGACACAAATTACACATGTGAGACTGACGGATACTGCTTCACATCTACATACCTCAAAGATGGAATCGTAAAATATAGCTACAGGTATGTTAAAACTATTGTTATTAAAAAAATCGTACAATAAAATTTCAATCTGGTTTTAATTGAAACTAAAAAATTATAGGTATTCGAATTAAACAAATTTTTAAAATAGTTTATAGATATTTCATGGCATTGACTAAGGAATGTGTTCTATACATAAAAAAAATGTGTAGCGTCAATACTACAAAACTATTTATTTGACAAATGTGTTTAAAAAATTATGTGGTGTGATAAAAGGGATAAAACCCTATAATTGGTTATCATAATTTACTAATAACAATACCGTACTTAATTTAATACTGTGATAGAATTGTATACATATAGTAATTGTTATCAAAAACATGTAAACTACCTTTATTAATGTTAAACAAATATTTTATTTGATCAGAATATTTTTAGTTAAGTGATCATTTGTAGTACTTCTAGAAATATCTATGTCTATATCTTTAAATGATATGGACTTTAATTAAAATTTTGGTAAATAATATAAAGAATATAAAATTTAATTATTTTTTTTTATTGTTTATTAATCATTTACAAAATATGTTAGTTGTTTGGACAAAGTTCACTTTTTTCCACCTGAAGAGCCCAGACGGTGTCATGCCAAACCTACAACAAAAGAAGCTCAAATTTGCTGCAAAGAATCAGATTTTTGTAATGCAGAGGGAAAAAATCAACCTCATCTTTTAATTTTCAATGATTTAACCAGTGCAGGTAACTGTGTGAAGCCCCAATCCCGATTTGCACTTTTCCATAACAATCTAATTTTTTCTTGTGTTTTCTGTTAACACGTTCATTCTTTTTTGTGTTTTATTTTGTTAACAGTTTTGATTTCTATGTACTAATTGTTAAGAATAAGAATCGACACGGTACACCAGGTATGGAACTACAAGAATCTGAATTAATTTTTTTTTTGTTGAAATACAGGGTGTCTGTAAAAGGTCTTTACAAAAACATACCACATATTCCTTAGACCAAAATAAGTCGATTTAAGTAAAATTACCTTAGTACAAAGTTGCTTCGTTTGGGCTCCAGAGGGCCTTGAAGTTACAATTTTTAAATCGTTTTTCCCATATAAATTTAAATCGGCATATATGCGATTTTGCTGAAATTTGGTATATTGGTAGAGTTTTATGTGGCAAAAAAAATGGTATTAACATTTTTTCGATAATAATACATAGGCGTAGAACTTAATTTTTTAAATAATTGCACCTTTAAAAATTCTACGCCAATGGAAGAAAAGGAGTTTGAGTATGAAATTTAGATTGCGCAACTCTTTACTTTAAAAAAGGTACTCTTGATAAGACTCGATTACTCTCATGGTTTTGACGAAATTTGCATTTTAGTAATTTTAGAACATAAACAATAATTATACAAACTTTGTCAAAACCATAATTTAGAGTGTATAGGTTTCACAAAAATATTTATAATCGAATTAAATTACGGGTTTTGAGCTTACATTAAATTGTAATTAGATGAAACAAAATGGATTCTATGTATTTTGAGGTGATCTTTTCGAAAAAAGGCAAAACAAAATGTAGCAGTTTTTCGAAAGTGCCAAAATTTTGGATTTTGTCAATTTTTCAATTTTGCGCAGGCGCATGTCGGAAATAAATCAATATTTTTAAAACGCAGTTTACGATATTTGAAAGCTTAGGAAAAATGCTAATTTTTATGTCTCTTGAGAAATTTTGATCCGATGCACCGTTCTCAAGGCATGGACGATTGAAATTTGTTTAGTATTTTGAGGCGACGAAGGTCGAAAAATTGAATTTGTTAAATGTTCAAACACTAAATTCTTTATAACATTGGTAAAAATTAAGATATTTGAAAAAACAAAAATGCGTTTTGAACTTAAGGGATGTGACTAGCGACTCCCAGAAGGGGGCAAGAGAAATCCCAAAATTGGGCATATGGCGGAAGGGCAAAATGCACCGCGGTCCTAATTTCATTGTTTGCCTATAACGGCCAAACTATTTGAATTTTTTTAATGCCACTTACAAAGCTTACTCTTAAATGTGAAATCTGATGTGTGTGTGAATTTCACCGACATCTGACCATAATTGGCTAAGATATCAAACAATTAAATAATTTTTTTTCGAAAGTTTGAAGTGGCACAAAAATGCCAAAAATGCACCCAATGGCTCAAAACTTTTTTTTGAGTACTCTATTGTGTCTAGAATACGATTACATTACCGAAAATTCTGCAAATAAATTTTTTTGACCACTGTTCATTGAGTGACGACCAAAAAACACGGTTTTTGAGAAAAGTTACCTAAAATTGACAATTTTTAGTTTTTTTGTCTGAAAATTAAACAAACCCAAATTTCATGTCTTCTAAATGTGTATACAAAGTTTAAAGTGTGTATGTTTCTTCTAAGTTGTAGAATTCTCCCGACAAAAGTCCCATTACACGCGCTCCGCGGGATCCAAAACTCGTGTATATGTTACGGTTAAAGTGTTTACTTGGCTAGTTTATAGACTAGCTGGATAGTATACAAACTATCCAAATGTCCTGCTATTTTGATGGAAAATCATATTTCAATTAAAATAGCTATGAATATTGGTTGATTTGTATACTAACCAGCTAGTTTACAAACTATACAATATTTCTCGCCAAAGTACAAACCACAAGAAAAGTACACAAATTAACCGACATTTTGGGCTAGTTTACAAACTATCCACAGTATTTGGATAAAGTATGAACTAAATATTCGTAGTAATACATAATAACCAGCTCGTCGGTTAGTATGTAAACTAACCAATTCTCTTCGGTTAATTTATTAGAAAAGTATACCTTTTTGTGTATTTTTTTGTGCTCTTTTCGATGGCGAAGTTAGTTTTTTCAAATATATTTATTTTGTTAGATGTTTTCGGAAAACCCGGAAAAAATCACATGGGAAAAAAATTAAAAAAAAACTACGCCTCTGGTTTCCTGCGAATTCCCGAAAAATTATGTCAGATTTCGCCGCGGGACTTATTTTATTTGAGAGCCGACAAAAAAATACGCAACTTCTCTCATGGGCACATATGTCTAACATTTATAATTTCGCCACAAATTCATCGCAAATTTCATGTTCATGGTTCTGATTAAAAAAACGATAAAACGACTTTTTGGTAAAAGCACTTTTGGCGGCGAGAAATTCGCCATTAAAACTACCTGTGCAATGAATTTCCGAACTATTTTTGCCTCCTCTTTCGAATGGTGCATTTATTTTCACTATCGGAATGATACTTGCCCAGATAATTAGCATTTTTACAATGGAAAATTCCGGAAAACCCGGTTTTTCCTAATTTAAAAAAAATTGAAAAACTGCTACATCTTTTTTTCTTTTTTTTTCGGAAAGATCACATCAAAATACACAAGGTCCTTTTTGTTTCATCCAATTACAAATTAATGTAAGCTCGAAGGGGCTTTTTTTCGTTATTTAATTGGACTATTATTTACAACATAATCAAAATAGAGATTTTACAAAAATTGTTCAAAATGTTCACCCTTTTCACGCATACAAAGATTTATACGTCGAAGAAAATTAAAATGTATCCTTTCCATAACTTCTTCATTACCTCTACGATTGTTTATTGCATCTTGAATAATAATAATCTTTATTCAAAAGAAAACAATATAATATAAATTAATTAATTGGAAATATTACGAATAAAGTAAGAAAGACACCCATTGATGACCTCTAAGAGGTTGCGCATGGGCTACTTTTTACAAATTCGGCTTATTTAAACAATTAAAACATATAAACATTATACATATAAAATAAATAGTAAGTAATATGAATATATAAGTATATAATAAAATTTTATGATAAAAATTAATTGAAAACATAATAAAAATTAGTTTAATTTAACACACATTTAAAATTAAAGGGAACATAAAACAGTAATAATATTATATACGAGTATATGGGAAAATTTTAATACATAAAACATATATACACATGGAAATACAAGTGATTCAGTTTTTTATTATTTATGTTCGATTAGCATATGCAAAAGTTCTCTACCTGATGTTATTAAATAATTTTTGATAATTTTTTTAAGCAAATGTATTGAGTTGATAGTCCGTAAATAAATTTTGTATATATCAGGTAGTGAATTGAAAACTTTACTACAAAGGTAATTTAATGATTTCTGGCCAATAGATTTGTTTGATAAATGAATTTGTACATTATTTTGAATTTTTGCTCTTGTTATGTATTTATGTTGTATCTCTTTTAAAACATTTATATTTTTTTTTGGTATATAATAAGATATTAAAAATAAAAATTTGTCTAACATCCAGTAATTGTGTTTCTTGGAACAATAGATTTGATCGGTAAGTATTTTTCATTGCCAGAGCTGTTCCTCATTTTCTACAGGTTCCCTGTAAACTGTGGATTTCAGATGTCCCAATAAAAAGTAATCCATCGGTGTTAGGTCTGGGGAACGTGGTGGCCAGTTTACAGGTGCGTCATTACCTCTGCCTATTCATTTGTGTGGATATTGTTCATTCAAGTGGTTTCTAATGTTTAAAGAAAAATGTGGTGGAGCTCCATCTTGCATAAACCACATATCTCTTCGAAGTTGAAGAGGTAAATCTTCTAACAATTCTGGCAACGTATTTTGTAGAAAATCCAAATAATTTTCTCCAGTTAATCTTCGTGGAAGTATGACAGGACCAACAATGAAATTACCAATTATTCCAGCACACACATTAATTTTGAATTCGTGCTGAAAATGGTTTACCTTTATTGCATGCGGATTTTCAACGGCTGTTACGTTTTTACAAATCAAAATAGGTCAGTGGGATTCGTTTAGAATTTACCTTCAAGTCAATGACAAGGTCTTTAATTAAAAAGACTTAAAAGAATTCAATTAAATTAATTTGGGCGCCATACCTTTAGATGTACAATAAAAGTAAATTTGTCATTAACTTGTCAGTTGAAAGTAAGGAAAAAATAAAGAACTTAAATTTCAAAACAATTAATCGGCTTTAATTTCGAATTTGATTG